TATTATTCTTTTTGATGTAGTCTGCTTTCATTTGTTAAGTACCCCTGAAATGAAGTGCAAATCCACAATCGTGGGATGTTTTTCAGGATGTTCCACAATGTTTGCTTAAGGATCCGTTGTTTTGGCACACCACATGGCGGCTTCTCTTTTGGTCGTCTGAAACCCCTGCGCAATCGCGATAACACTCGCTGATCGTAAACATTCGCAATATTCCTCTAGTTTTATTCATACAGCAAATGTCTTATACTTGTTTCCATTATGCGTGCTATAAAAATGCATTGATCATTGGAGCGTGATTAGCTTCCTCTCAGCTCGAAATATCTGAATTGGTAAATACACCTAGTGCTGGAATTTTTCGACTGATTTACCAAATACATTCATTCCATTAGGTTGATGCATAATTATTGCGGATTTTTTTCAGCAAATTTACCTTGAAGAAGCGGTAGAAATATCTAGCGAAGACATGTTCAAATAACTGCTCCGGAACATATCCACCGTCTACATCGAGCCCTGCTTCCCATTGGCTAGGCAGTCGGATTCTACAGGCGAAGGAGTTTAGATCCTTGGGGCTATCCACGCCTTGATGTTGGCCATCAAGCCATCCACCTAGTCAAAAGTTCTATTCGTTACCCAATTTTTCAACGGGCGATCAACGTGATGATCCATAGGAGCTTCTGTTGGTGAATAAGGCGACCGTAAAAGCAAAGTCCGTTCTTTATTCGGCTTTGGCTGACTGTTCCATCGCCGAGAAGTTCGTTTAGACCACTTTGTGAGTGTGCCGCCTTCCAACATTTCTCGAAGTAATAGAGCATAATTTGGCGTATATGAAGATGATTTTCTAGATATATTTCTGTTGAGGAAAGTGAGAAATTTTTTCTACAAAAATACCGAATTCAAAGGTTTAATTTTACATAGAGAAAAGAAGCTGCGAGAAAATCCGCAATAATTATGCATCAACCTAATAGAAGGTCAGGATGTGCGCTGTTTATTCCGGTCACCTGTGGGGTCAGAGGTGTTGCCAGTCAGTGTTTGTCACGCACATTGTATTTCACCTTTCGAATTTGAGGAACCGGGTGTTCTATTTTGGTAAGATTGGACTTTTAAAATGGATATTTCCTGTTTTTCTCCGTGGAGCCAATCAAGCCACTCCCTGTCAGAGCTGTCTGAGCTCTAGGCTTTTTGCTTTTTATTTAGGCCGTATTTTTGTAATATTCTGATCAGTAAATTATTTCCAGTTATTTATTACCCGACGTTTTGACATTTTGCTTATTTCATCTAAATTTCTTCGAACAAGAAGCAAAGAAATCGAGCGCATCCTTATACTTCAATATCAACAAAAAATAAGCAGAGCTCTATCATCATGCAAGAACGCAGCCAGTTTTTTGTATGATTTGAAGTTTGAAAAACTGTACTTCCTATTTCCATACATGGATCAGCTCAAGTTGCTCCCATTCGTGAGTTGTTAGAGTTCAGTAATTTTGACACATTTAATAGTTGGTGTAGATTCCGCAGAGTTTTTTTTTTTGACGAGAGGGTGTACCTAATAAAAACAAACCCTCCTCGAAATTGGCTGTTTCGTACCTGACGTTCTGTTCATTTCAAGTAGTGGTAAAAGAAGGAATGGTAAGAAAGTTGAGAACGCCGTGATGGAAAGGCTTCATAGGAAGATATATGAGAATCTGAGGTTTCCCTACAAACCAAATTTCATTGAAATGCTTGCTTCCGCGTGATCGACCCTTACATTTGACTGTTTGAAATTATCAATTTCAGACTCGGTCGAGGACAAGTAGTGGGAAGGTATCGTAATATCCCAGCAGACTCTGCCTTTGCGAACTATGCTCAAATGCGAGCTTATTGGAAAAACTGCGTGAGTCTAATTTTAATAGTACTACTATTTTATTGTAGTGCTGTATAACTTTACTGTTGTGTGAAGGCTCTTAGCGACATAATAATTGGTAGATGTAATTTTGTTGTTGTGCTTTCAGCATGGATATGATTTACCTTTGAAGGAACCAAAAAACTACTACAATGTATGGTTTAATGGAATAAGAAGTTCATTTTTGTAAGCGTTCTTTTGTTTTCGTAGTCCCAATCGATTACGAGAGGTATCTGTCGTTTGCTTTGTTTAGATATCCGGATTTCTGTGTACTAGCTTCTGAGCCACAACCTATTGGGTTCCTTGAAGAGCAAAAAACTGCTCTTGTTGCTGTTGAAGAGTTTTCTCAATCTTTCTTCTCTGAGGAGCACTTCATCTGTGGAGAATGTTGTCGAAGTGAGAAGCGCTACTTTTGTTATCATTTATATTATACTTGGTTTTTTTTTGTTTAAATTGCATGGACGAACAGCGGAAAAAGTCCTTCAGTCCTTCTGATCCCGGGGAGAAAACTAGTTGCCGCGCCTGTATTTGAAGCATTTGAAGAAAAAAACGGAAGAAAACATTTACTAGCCGCGTGATATGATTGCTCGCATGACAATGTCGACTTATCGTTTTGCTGTTGACCATACTTAATACTGATTTTAGTTATGCCTTCCAAATCGGACTTCGTTAAACTGCGTGGGCCTACATCACTTGAAACTACGTCGCTTGCTGGAAGAACGGCGCTGAGTGTGGTAGGTGATTGCTCCATTATGCCTTCATTTGTTTCAAGATTGCCGTTATGAAGTGTTTATTTATTTATCACTATGTTGCTGATTAATGCGCAAGTTTTCGGAAAGTTCGAAGCTTGCCCATAATTCAACGACCCTGTGATGTATTTGGCATATTTCTGAATGACAGAACGTTTTAAAAGCTGCCTTCAGCCAAGTGTTGGATGGGATAGGCACGTTCCGGTAGCATCCAAGCAGCTCCGAGAGAACGAAACTCAAAAGGAAGAAGGTAGGTCATTATCAATACTGAATGACACATGAGCGCTATTGAAGTCGCGCATTGACTTGTTACGTTAACGCCTTTGATTATTAGTGTCAGCTGGAGTTCGCTTTTCGTTCCAGCTGGCATAACCTCATAGGCATCACTCAGTGTAGGGTGAGAGTCCCAAAGCGTCGAGCGACAAGCGCGTGGAGGTTGATATTTTTTAATTGAATTTTTAGCACTGTGTGTTCCCCGTTTACCCAGTTTTGTTCGGTAAATCAAGTTTTTTTTTTGGTTTCTATTAGTACGTTATAGTGTGACGAAACCGTTTTATTTATGAAGAAACAGCTTCGCGATTAAAATACCATGCTTCTTCGTAAACGCCGTCAGGTCATTGGCTGCTCGGAAGTTGACGCGACCTACGAGCTCCGAGCTTCACTGTGTGTTTTCAGAATCCACCGACGTGCATTGTTTCTATCGAGCAACCGACGATTTTCCTAGCCATGTGTTGACAGTTTTGAACGCCGATGGACCAACCCCCCCCCCCCCCCCCCCCCCCCCCCCCCACGGCTCCCGCAGCCCCTAACGCAATTTGTCCTGCGTTGTCAGCACGTGGCCAGGGATCCCGTTGGTCGGTTCCTTGGTGGAAGCAATGCACGTCGGCTGAGTCTGAATGCACCCTCTGGCATCTTTCATAGTAGAGCGGTGAGCTTGTTGATAACGACGGTCGTCGATCGATATCACACGAGTCTGCAGTGAATAAGTTCTTAATCAAGTTTTCAGATTGTGGTTAACTGTTTCATTTTTCGTATGTGGATTTGGTACCTCTCTTTTTTTGGCTATTTTCTTTGGTGTAATGCGAAGGTGTATCACTATAAAAGAGTTGTATGCAACTTCAAAACAAAACATGGAAAAACCGTTAGCGGCGACACGGATGTTGATGCGATCTACTAGCGGCGGGGCGCTCTACGCTCTACTCTGAAATGCCAACCGGTTGACCCAAGAACGTCAAAAGCGCTTGGCGCCCCTGAAAATGTCGAAATTCAGAGGTGTAATTTGGTCTTGTCATGTGGCAGCCTATGTTTCAACAGCTGTATTCGAAACGAATGCGTCAGGGGATGCAAATGATTTGAAAAGGATGAATATTTCAATGCTTGCGTGTTATATTTACAGAGGTGTCGAATTCAAGGAAAAGGCTTGCTGGTGTATTCAGTAAAAGCCTTTGTTACGAAGCGCTAGCATCTCCGCCTGTCCACCTTAATAGTTCGAAGGTATCATAAGTTCTTTCACTAAATCTAATTTTTTTTTGCTCAATGTGACTTTGGTTTTTATGATTTTTTATATGATTACTAGTTTTAAGGATAATACCGTTGTAAAAGAGGTCAAGCTCTCGTTTACATCCTCTAACGTAAAAGAAAAAGATGAGAAACACCACGTGAGTTGTTTGTACTACATCCATTCATTAATACGTAGATTGTATGTAGACTAATTTTTACTAAATGCTCGAAGTCGGGAAGTTGATGGAAGGGTGCCATACGTTGAACACCCGTGCCTGCTGACTATATGCAGCAGTGCAACTGTTGGCGGACCTAAATACCAGTTCAGCGAGCCTTAAGTGTGCGATTTAACTGTTCCGCAGATCGCTACCGCTCGAGGTTAATGCGCCATAAGTCTGCCTGATCGTAGCCCTTTTGGCACCCTTCGTTGCCGCCTTGTAGCTCTCATAGTTTTTACCCTAATGCCATAAAATGCTTTAGTTCGTGAAACCTCTGTTCATGTTAGAAGCGAATTCACATAATCAGCATTGTTGTGCTAGGAGTTTCTGGAAAACTTTACGTTTAGGTTTCACAATATCTACCCACTGGCTCTCAATGTTTCTCTCAAACCATCCGTAGTCGGAAACGATGCGTCGACGTTGAATAGCGTCATACCTCATTTCTCAGTGCTGTATTTTACTTGGTTTTCATTTAAAAAAAGCCAGTATCCACTTCGATTCACTGTGTGATTCTGATCTTCATTTTTTTTGTTTTTCTTCGTGGATGGGGTGAGTTTTGGTACAAACAGAATTCTGGGGTTTTCGTGATTTTCTGATTTACTCTGGGTCGGACTAGCTTCTCGTCTTACAGCTCTAGCTGTGTTCTTTGTAAATGGTTTATTATGGGTTCTTTTTTACTACAAGTATCCAGTATTTGTGATCTTTGAGTACATTGACGAGTTTCTTGTCCCTCCGATGACATTGTGATATATTGAGCATTTTCTATGATATTCTTGTTGTTTTTGTGTTCTCTTCAATGTGCTATGAAGTTGTTCCATGTTGAATATTGCTTACAACATCCCAAAACCTTTATTTCGAACCCAAAGACAGAGCCTGCGGGTTGTAAGCGATCGTGTGCTACACACATATGAATCTACCACCCTCCCCAGGAGGTGCTGTCATTAGGAATACGTTTTGAGGATCGGAATTCAACAAAGCAAATAATCTAATACCGCTGTATCTGGAATTTCGGCATTACTAATTAAGGAAGTGGTAACCAGATCATCATCAGTAACTCCCACCACTCTCAGCCGCTAGTTTGATGTACGAATGTTCATTCGAATGTATGTACAACTCTGAATGGAAGCACTACTTTCTCCTTTGGAATTTGGCCTGCCATTGAGGAATCAATTTGACTTCTGAAAAATAGTCGGAAGAGCGATTGACAGCAAACGGCGATTCAACCGCAATTATTATTCTGGTGGAGGATCTCGCAAAGCGTTTGTGACTGCTGCATGTTCAGAGAGGGTGTTAATCGTGCCGTCGCAGTTGATTCCATTACCACAAGCCTCCGCCAAACTACCATGATGCTACTCAATTGCCAGCTACATCAAGCGGATAGCTCAAGTCCACAGATAGTTATCGCGGCAGCACTCACACAAAATCGCCTCATCAAGCGCAATTCAAGGGAAAAACTGGTGGATGTGACTATGTCCTTATGACAGTTCGGAGAACGTTTTTCTCTTCATCACAGCATGGAAGTTCTTGCAGGATTATAGTTAGCTCATTAATTTACCGCAAATGGCGACAGTGAACAAACTCAATAAAACCTGGTGGTTAGTGTTTTACTAAGGGAATCTCCCACAGGTTTAAAACCTGATAGTTGGAAAAATGGAAATATGAACGTGCCAAGGATATATAGTTCATCACTATTTATGTAAGTCAATGGTGTGCAGAAGTCTAGGGAAAACTCAGGGAGAGCCATTAGGAAATCTTTCAGGCGCTCAAGTCGCTTACATGCTTGAAGTTCGGCAATCAACAGTTTCAGTGAAGGCGATAAAGGTTTTTACGGGTTTCTAGTCCTTTCATTAAGACGAGCTATCTGATCCATAGTAGTAAAAAACCTGGACTAAAGTTAGCGGTACTTGCGCTGTCACACTGAATCCAAGGCCCCTGGACCGGTACCCAATTTTTTGTGGGTCTCTTGGCGGCCCATAGTTTCAAGCTTATTCATTTCGTATGATCCCAACCTTCGATTGCAGTTTGTACTAATCCACTTCCAGCAGGTACGAATTTGTTAGTAGAAACCGTTGATCCTTGTGTTTTGTGAAAGTTATCAGCCCCTAAACCCACTCATCAGGCCCCCGAGCAAAGCTTGGCTGTTGTTATTGAAAAAAGAGGAGATCTCTTGTCACAGCCCCTCTGCAAATTGTGACCACGGCTAAGATTTGGCTTGTAATAGAAATGTGGAGCATTTATTGCCGTCCCCATCGCTCTCCAAAATCGACTGACCTGTGTGTAGAATGATGAGAGGCTAACGCTTCTCCGATTTAGCCTAATTGAGTAAAGCCGCCTTATAGAGGCATTAAAACACCGGAATTAGGCAGTAAATCGGTCTCGGCACTAAGTGCTCTCAAAACGGCAGATGATCTGTTGTGAATAGAGGAACGAGGTGGTTCTCAAGTATTGGGTGAATGAAGCATATCTTTATTCTCTAGGACAAGCATTTGTTTCACCTGTAGACAACTGGGACGGAATTGTCCGATCTCGACGGTCCTGATCTGCTTTTTTCCATTTCGTTCTACGATTTTGAAACCAAATTTTTACCTGAAATAATAATCTTTGTTTTGAGGCTTTGGGTCCCAGAAGAGTTTTAGTTACCTGGGTTTCTGTGACGTGAAGATTTTTTGCGAGTTCACTCCGTTCAGCACTTGAGAGATACTTCTTTGATTCGAATCTGAAATGATCCCCACGTTACATCATTGCAAAATCACTGCTCAAATTACTAGACAGTAATGATAGAATAGTCTTTAAGATGGTTCTTAAGTTGATTCTGGGCATGCAGGAATTAGTCCTGCTTTTGTTGAAGGTCCTACAACATAATTAAAATCACGGAGCTCACTGAATGTGCATTGACTGGGCCACCTTCTAGGTCAGGACCCTCAGAACGTTTCATTTGCTGAGCACTTTTCAGCTGAATTAACAAATCCTGTCAAGAAAGTCCAGAAGCCGGGTCGATCAACGACAGAGTACGCCACCTTAACCTTTCAGGGCTCAACTTTCAGTCTTAGTGTCCTCGATTGACCACAAATGGTTCAGTAGTAGTAGTAGTAGTAGGGACTGTGACTTGGGAGTCAAATGTTGAAGGTGCGATCTAAGGAAAATTGGTAAGCGCCTGGTTTACAAATGGATTCCTACAAGACCAAAACTCCTCCTGTCCTATTAATGTGCACGTTTATCTATAAACTAATTTATTTGGTTTGAATGTTTGGATGTCCCATGACTGAGAGACTTCGGTTCAAAAACTATCGAGATGAGGTTATGGTTGAGATAGTTCGTGTTCAAGTTTCTTGATGCGAAGATGGCTTAGCGCTTCTGGACGCTTAACCGAATAAATCAAAGAACAGGGGCTTTGAATCACCGTTAGACTCTTGACAAGGATGTTTTAATCAGAATGAGCGGTTCCACTGTGGAAAATTTCCTATGGCAAAGTAGGTACAACAGTGTAAAGTGCCCACGTTTCGAGGATTCTGAATGCATTGGGATAGGTTCCTTACTGTTTGTTATTGCCATTTTTCGTAGTATCTCCCTGGCAAAACTTTCCATGGACGGAAAAAGTTGTGGACAAATATACAGTCTTCAGCGTCTCGAGCTCAGTCTAAACCTTTCAAACCAATTATTATCCTTTGAGCTTTTGAAAATCGAGTGAGCCTTCTTGGCTTTTGATGGTGAGCTCTTAATAGCGTAGTTTCAAAGAAATACATGAAGTGGATCGCCCAAAACAAGGGTTCCGTTTCGGATTTATCCTTTTATCCATAAGCCAGCCCCCTTGTAGCAATTAACGTAATAAGTAAGACCTTAATTAATCATATTCGGTTGTTTCTTTTAGGCAGGATTTTACAAAGAAACGTACTGTTTTTCAAGTTCGAAGATTTGCCGCCCGCTGAAGGTCGTCCTCGCCTTCTTCTTCTTTATTGGCCTATTGGTATTCTCAGTCAGGTTTTCAACTGAAATCAACAAATTAGTCAATAGGCAGCTTTTGGAATTGCCATAATTGCTCCCGCAACAGACCGCTTCTTCCAAAATCGTCGAGCTGTGGTGTATCTTCATTGACTCCGAGTATATCCTTGATGAAATACGATGATCGCTTCTGTGGTATAGAATAGTACGAATAAAATGGTAAGTAAGGTAGGATACTTGAGGCGAACAATCCGAATGGGTAGGCCATCACAGCGACCGAACGACAGAGTCGTCACGTCTCCGTTGTCGGCAAAGGATACTGTAGTCGCGCTGCTCGAGCAACCACGCCTTCGACGAGCTCAGTTGCAAATGAAATCAAGAAATCTTCGTCTTGGGAGAACTCGGCCGCGAATTGAAGCACCTCAATCAGTGTAGATTACTCAGCAAATGCTTTCCTCGAGCAAATTGAACAGCTTAGCTAGATTTCGTGATTCTGCTCTGTTGGATCCCGAATATTGGAGCCATCGAGGAGATTTGTACTAATTTCAGCAAATGAACGGCGTAAAGTCGAGGACAGAAGATCTTTACTTGGTCTAGCTGAGGAAAATGAACCATTCCCTGTGAATAGGCACTCTGGGGGGCGCCATGCACTTGGCTCTCGTCCAGAATCCTAATAGATTTAGTTAATCAAAGAATAACGTGTTCACCCAATCAATCCATTGGCACCACCATGGTGGTGGACCACCCTATACCAATTCTCTTAATTGGAGCTAATCATTTTTACAGAATGAAGATCTAACAATTTACAATGCTGTCGCTCGCAGTCGTACCTACCAACTTTACACGAAACGTCGCCAGTCCAATAGTAAGAATGAATCTGAGCAATTCTTTCAAGTTGTTCAAGTATTATGTCCATGTTCTTACGGAGACATACGAACGGATGTCGGATCTGTTGAATAGTTCACTTAGAGAATAGGTCTAAGTTAATGTCCTATGACATCAGTTGATGGGCATTGGTGTGAAAGAAAGCTTTTAGTTCGACCAAAATGAATCCCATCTACGGTCGAAATGTGATTCTATTAGGTTGAGTAAAAAGTTTTGATCGGTTTTTCATCTTTATTTCAAAAAGTCCTATTTTCATTAAAAGAGGATCTCAATTAGTAATATAGTCTCCAGAGTGGTCCACAACATATGTCCAGCGATCCACCAGTTTTTCGATCCCTGAAGCCCAGAACTGTGGCGGCCGCGATTCAAAAAAGCTGGAAATCTCAGTTTCAAGTTCCGAGCGATCATCAAATTATCTGTCGCGAAGATGATGATTTAAATCAAGAAAAACATGGTAATCGGACGGAGCAAGATCTGG